TGGTTTATGGAGACTTGAGTTAATATGAACTCGCATCCCCATATCGGTGCTCAATACTACTCCCAAAATATACTTAGCTCATATGTTTGTAAAAACAAAACTCTTTCTTTGAATTGAGATAATTACTCAAAACTTAGCTTAAAATTCTCTTGGAATCGATGTTCCCTTTCTTGCTCAAATGAGAAAACATTTATAAACTCTTTGGGAATACTTAGTTTCCTTATAGCTTTTTGAGAAATGAACTCAACTCTTTACTCTTTGCTTAACTTGAAACTTGAGCCTAAAAACGAAGTTAAAACGTTTGTTAAAGACTCTTGAAAACTTTAAGAAACTTTGTTTTGACTTGCTTCTTAACTTCTAGACTTGACTCTTAACTTCTTTGACTTTGATCTTAACTTTCCTTGAATTGGATTATGGATTCAAGGCTCATGATCTCATGTTTATGGATGATTTCATGATGTTTAGATGTACCTTAGAGTGTTGGAAACAACTAGAAAACATAGGTACATCGCTTAGGAACAAGTACGAAAAGGTAGGGAACGAATGGGGAGAACTGGCGTCCCTGGCGCTCTGAGAGGCGCGGGGCGCCAGCCCTCAAACTTCAGAGAAGCCTGACTGGCGCGACACGCCAGAAGCCAAACTTCAGAGAAGTTTTTGTGGCGCTCTGGCAGGCGCGACTCCCAGCCCTTTTTGCCCAGCGACTTTCGACTTTTCTCTTTCGTTTTTCATCTCTAAACTCCCCTAACTTCCATAATTCTTTCCCCAAACACTTAGGATCAATTTTACCCTCAATATACAACCAATCTAACTCAAAAAACAACTTGGAAACATGAATCAATTCACCCCCAAGCATCAACAACTCAACCAACAAGAATTCTACAATTTGTTCTTCAAGAACTTCACTTCTTCAACATGTACACAACTCAAAATCAATGGATTGAAACAAGTTGATGTGTGAGTGAACTAACCCAACACGAAAACATCTCACATACCTTAATAGGGATCACCCCCGACGAATTCCACATGCAAGCTTGGATGATCTTGACGAATTCTTGCTTTTTCTCCCGTTCTTTCTTCCTTCTCTCTTCTCCAAGCCCTAAGCATTCTTTAATTTTCCAAAACTGATTTAGGTTCTGTTTTTACCCCAATAAACCCCTAAAATCAAATTTGGAAATTAATTAGAGAAAAGACTACTTTGCCCCTTTCCTAAATCCGGATTGGGACTTTCCTCAATCCAACAACCCAAATTCCGAAAGGCATATCTCATTCATACGATGTCGAAATCGTGCAATCTCAGCGGCGTTGGAAAGATCTCTCCAAGGGCTTTCCAACAATATAAAGATCTGCTCCTAAATCCTCCTGATACAGGAGTTATGATCGTTTGAAAATGGCCAAAACTCACTTTCTTAACTTATACAAAATTTCCAGATTTCCTTATTCTTTCCAAAAATCAATATTTTCATATTTTAAAATCTTTATAGTCGTTTCTAGGTGCGAGATGTTACAAATCATGTTTCTAGAATTGATTTTGTAATATTTTCTTGAAGTCATTAATTGTCTTTCTTAGACATTTCAAACTCAAACTAATTAGATTATCAAAGAATTAAATTCTAAAAAGTATTGTATAAGTGAAGAGTGATACTATAATTAGTGTACTCAATCATGTAAAGCCATAATTATATTTCAAAATAATTTTTCTACTTCTAGAATAAGTTTAATAGTTATGTAACAATTAATTCAATTGAAAAAGGTTATCAAAAATAATATAAATAAAAACTTCCTAAGATCTAAACACTTGTGATGTTATGTGATGTATAATAACTTATATATAATTTTTTGAGAAAATTATATAGTAAAACAAATATATGCTATGCATTTACTATATACAGCTATATATAATTTAATTTAATTACAATTCATATCTACAATTCCAATTTAGTAGCAAATATCAATTTTATACGCATTAGCTGTACACTATTAACGTATTTTGTAGGACATGTATCAAACTATTCACTTTCTTCTCTCTTTTAGATCTCATAACTTGTAGAGACCTTCTTTTTCACCCTTCTCGATTTTTGCACGGTTTTAGTGTCTAATCCTGTTATGCTTTTTAATTATTATTTCAATTTAGTAAGGTTTAATTAAAAATTTGAAAATCACAAAAATAATAATCACATCTCTGGAAATTGTGTTGTTTCGTTTTCAAAAATAAGAAAATTATAGAAAAAATAAAAATAAGAAACATATTATCTTTCTTTTAAATTAATATTTTTGTTAGTAATATTTAATTTTATTAGCCTAAAATTAAGTAGGTAATATTTTATCTTAATAATTTTATTCTCCCCTAAAAAAATATAATAAAAAAGAGAACAATAGAATTAAGCTAACAAAAATTATCATTATGGACAATTCATGTCTATCCATTTTACACATAACATCCTTTCCGCTGAGGTTGTTAGCTTAAACTTTCTTATTCAATAGCAAAATTCTGCTCGAGTTTCAATTCTAACGAAACACTATTGATCGAATTTTAATTGAGGTTACTAAAAGTAGCTTTCTAATCAATGTCTTGGATCACAATCAAATTGATTTAGGTAAAAATCAAATAATCTATGTACCTTAAAGTGATATATAAGTTTAACTTGTTATATAAATGATTCTACTTAAATTTCAATTATAATGGGTTAATTGATTTTCAACAAACACCCTCGTCACCTCCCGTTCTAGCGAAAAAGGTAACAACGGCGCCTTTCTCTCTCTCACTCCACTACAAATCAATGGACTCCAACGAGCATTGCCATAAAATCAACCAATGCCACTCTCTCCCTCCACTGATAACAACTTGAAATGTGACATCAAGGAGGTACCAATGCCAAATATCCGTTAAAAAAGATGACCATAGGTGTGGAGAAGAAAGAAGAAGTCGTTGGGGGCAGGGATGGGGATGGCAGAGAAAAAATGGGTGGAGTTTAGGGAAGAAGAGGGTTCTTTTAAAATTTATTTTATCTTTTTAAAATTTATTATTATTATTATTTTAATATTTTTGAGTTTAAATATGATGTTCACTTGCCTTCATAGGAGTGTAGTCCCACTCTCTCGCCAACTCAACCATCTTAATGTCACATAAGTTTGGTCAATGGTCAGAGGGATTTGAAATATTGTGTTTTATTGAGTTTAAGGGTTCAATTGGTAAATAGTTAAATACAAGAGTTCATAATACAAACTCATACAAGTATAGGGACCCATCAGATCATTTCACTGATATATTTATGAAGTGTCACTAGTATTGCCTTAGATTTTTTGATGAATTAATGATGCTCTGTTTTATTTAATATCTGAAAACACAATTGCATGACAATGATAAGGTTTTACTAGCTTTAATATATAGGCTATGCGAATTTAAGGGCGGAGCAATCCTCGGGCAAGGTGTCAAGTGACATCCCTTCGTCAAAAACTTCGTTTAATGAATATATATTTAAGTGTTACACCACTTGCTACAAGTTAAAAGTTTAGTGTAATGATTTCGGAGTTACAAAATTGCTTAAGATTGTGCATTCTATCTTAATAACAACGTATAATTAAATTCTTTCGAGCGAATGCGAAAGAATAGTTTATTTTCTTTTTTGCATTATCAAAGCGAAAGAATAATTTCCAACATATTCTTGTTACAAAATTTAGTTCATGTACCAATTGTGAAATTTAGTTATAGCCTTGTGATTTTTAATATGATAAAAAAAAAGTTAGCTTTGTGAGTGGGCGGGGCGGCGGGCGTGGAGGGGGGGGGGGTGGTAGAGGATTCTGGTGGAGGTGGGGTGGATGAAAATTGGGTATGGAAAATGATGAAAAACAAAAAATAAAGAAGAAGAAGAGGCGTGGGGTGGGGATAAGGTGATGGTAGAAAGAGGATTTTGTTTTTTTTAAAACTTTATTTATTACCAAACATGCTTTTATTTTTTTTATTTTCTTGCCATGTCAGTTTTAGTGGGTAACAAAATTCAGTTTTAAATTGTAAAGATGTGTAATAGATCGTCATAATAGTTACTTTTCGAAACAAATTCAGAAGTAAATTTATGCCTTTTTCCCCCAAAAAAAATATGTGTACCTAGTTTTTTTAACTAAGAAATCATGAGTTCAAGTTTAAAAAATAAGAGATGGCTTCTCTTGTTAGGAAAATGTTCGAGTCAAAATATTGTTTTCCCGAGCTAGAAACTAGAATGAAAGATAATTACCACTCGTATTGAGAATATCTATCATAAATGAAAGGTAATTACCTCAATAATGAAAATGTCTATCATGTAAAATTAAAATTGTGTAGAGGGAACATATATTATCAATAAGTCGATCTCATAATAATTCTTAACTTAGTAGAGTAATAATATTTGCATGTAGTTTAATTTGAAATCTCTATTTTCTAGTTTTGGAGAAGGCAGACTACATACATCTAACATCGTAAATATCAGTTGTCAAGGTTACAAAAAATATTTGTTTTAGTTTACTTGTCATTTTACAAAATCAAAATAAAATTTAATTATTTTTATTTCATGTTCTTGAAATAAAGACTAGTTTAATCTTTTCTTTTTTTTGGTTGAAAGGATAATATTATATATGTATGCTACGGAATTACAGAAGAATTAGCTAGAACGTACTCCCTTGACGGGCAAGTAGTTACAACGAATTTATCAAACTGGGCTAACTTGTTACACATAGATGGCCTAATTAGTCTAGTAGAGACTAGTTTAATCTTGTTCTCAAATACAGTGCAATTTGTTGGAGAGAGATGAGGGTAAAATATTAAAAGATAATTTTATGTATGATTTCTTAAGGAACATGTAAAAAGTAAATGTCATAACTAATATGAAATAGAGGAAATACATGGGCAAATAATGTTAAGAAATTAAAGTATGTTGCATGTACACAATAATTGTGATAGAAAATTAATGATCAACCATTAGCCTTTGATAAGGCAATTATTAATATATTCATTAAGATGTTGCTGAGGACTATACATGGCTATTTTCAAGAGCAGAAGGTGTAATTTCTGATGATTTGTTATTAGCATGCAATAAGTTATGATGATGAACTTCTTCTAATTCTTTCTTTGTCCTTATAATATCATCCTTTTCATGCAAATCTTCTTCAATTGAGAGTACTATTGTCTCAAGTTTCCCATGAGGTCCTTCAACAATTGCTTCCTTCATTTTAACATGATCATCAATGTGTTTCACTTCTTTCTCTTCAACTATCATTGTACTCTTCTTCTTTTTCTTCAAGAAGCATGAGCAGAAAGCTAGAATAGCTAGGCCAAGTAAAATGCAACCGAACATCGAGAAAACAAATATTATTATGATGTAATTGTGAGGTGGTGATGGTGGTGGTGGTGGTGGAACATATGGTGGAGGATGAGGATGAGGTGGTGGAGGAGGAGGGTGGGGGTGAGGTGGTGGGGAGGTGGGATGAGGAGGAGGGGGTGGTGGAGAGATGGGATGAAGAGGAGGGGGTGGTGGATGGGTAGGGAAATATGGGAATTGGAAGTTATTCAAATTGTTTGCCATAGGAATCAAAATCTTGGGAAATTGTTATAATTTTTTTGTGTGCAAGTTCTTGATGAATCTTGATGTTGTGATGTAGAGAAAAAGAGTTCTTGGCTGCTTATTTATAAGTGCTGAATATTCCCAAGGTTCTTTTCATTTAGCTCTCTCATGTGTTTTTTGTTATTTTAATTTAGGGAAAAAGGTTAGATACGTCATCGAATTTTGAGAAAAGACTTATTTATGTTATTCGCTAAAAGTTTGGTTCATCTATGTTATTCTTGTTTGAAAAAAGGCTTATACATGCCATTATTTGTTAATTGAAATGGCACAGGTAAGCGCCCTTTTCTCAAAGTTCGATGACATATTTGAGCCTTTTTCCTTAAAAAATAAATGACATGACCAAATCATAATTGACCACGAGGAAAAAATGGTTTTGCAAAAGCGGAACTGTTTTCAGTTAACAAATAATGATATGGATAAGCCTTTTCTAAAACAAAAATGACATAAATAAACTAGCAAACAATTAACGGATGACATAAATGAGATTTTTTTTCAGAAGTCGATGATATATTTGAATATTTTCCCTTTAATTAATTAAAATTCTCTCTTTTGGAGTATGCTTTCAAGTAAGCAGAGACTTGGCTCTCATGTAAAGACTAGGAAGACTTTATCTTAGCTTTAATATTCTGATGATTGCAGTATAAAACACTTTTTGTTTGCTCTATTCTTCTTTAATTTCCCTTTATTATTTTGCTGAACTCATGATTAGTGTTCCACAGTACAAGACATGGAGATTGATAGGCAATTAAGACTTTAACAGTGTCTATATAACGAAAAGACTACGAACAAGATTTGAAGTACCTAGCCAAGATTAAGAGTTCGGAGTTCTAAATTTCCTTTTAAAGGTGTTGATAGTGGGACTCGAACCCACTAGTGTAAAACATTTCCACAATCCCTTCCTTGTCCGTAAGTAATTATCAATCAATTTTGTTAGGGATTCACGAATTAATATAAATATATATCTATTTAACTTTCTAATACATATAAAGAATCTACGAAAAAGCTAGTGGGTTTGTCCAAACCCGTGAAACCCCTGCTCCGCCTCTGTCTGTAAACATGATTGTTCAATCACTGATCTTCAAGAATTTTCATCATTTGAGCTAAGAAAATCAATAAGAATCTCTCTCTTTTTTACTTCATTAAATATGTTGTAGGGGTGGTAGATGAGCATTTCTCAAATGGATAGAATAGATTTGAGAATGTTTCGGCCCGAGTGTGCGACAAGTAGATCAACTTTCTTACTAATCTCTGATATTGACTTTGATCAACTGAATTTCCCTTTTTATTTTTGAATTTTATATTCAGATCAATATGTGTTTTAGATAGACGACAACCACTCATCCTTGTTTCGTTCAGAAGATCTAGCACATACTTTCTTTATGACAACATAATAAATTCTTTTCATCTCGTTATATATTTCCATGCCAAGGAAATAGATCAAATGGCCCAAATACTTAATCTTGAATTCCAAGGTCAACTATTTTTAAATATTCTTAATTTTTGACTAGTCATCTCCTGTAAGTATGATATCATCGACAAACACTATTTGGATGGTTGTCTTTCTCTCAAGAGAATGTTGAATGAATATGAAGTGTACCCTTGTTTTTTATTTTTTTATTTTTTTACAATTGAGTAAACCTTTCATTAATGATACAGAAGTAATCATAAAGCTTGACGCTCTTAACTTCTAATTATATGCGCTAAATTTATAGTTTGAACTTCACGCTAAAAAAATAAAATCTACCAATACTATTTTAATTGACAGAGTATTATTAAGTGAGACGTTTAAGAAGAGATAAACATTTTAGACATACTGTTATGATTAAGGCTATTATTATTATTATTTTTCCTAAAAGAAACCAAAAATATGATAAGTAATTAATATGAATCGCGAGGAGTATATTAGTCAACAAGGATTCTTTATTCCGAAAGGTTACTAGGCCGGCCTTTAGGTCCAAAGTCATGAATAGGATGATCGATACCATGTAAAACAGAACTTGAGTCTAACTCATTAAAAAAAGTTAGCTCGAGGCGAGGATAAGAATTGAATGGTATATGAGAAGTTGTGACTAAAAAGAAATTAAAACATCAAAAGAAAAAAATAGTAATTATAATTAACTTTATACAATAGTAACTCCCATAGTAGTCACTTATTTAAAAATAAAATAAAAATCATGAATTGATGCTTAATTAAGTTTGTCTATGGGCAGCTTCAAGAGCAGAAGGTGTAATTTGTGAAGATTTATTATTAGCATGTAAGAAGTTATGATGATGAACTTCTTCTAACTCTTTCTTTGTCCTTACAATGTCATCTTGTTCATGCAAATCTTCTTCCACTGAGAGTACTATTGTCTCAAGTTTCCCATGAGGTCCTTCAACAATTGCTTCCTTTATTTTAACATGATCATCAATGTGTTTCACTTCTTTTTCTTCAACTAGTATTGTGCTCTTCTTCTTTTTCTTCAAGAAGTATGTGCAAAAAGCAAGAATAGCTAGGCCAAGTAAGATGCAACCGAACGTTGAGAAAACGAATATTACTATGGTGTAGCTTTGATCAGAGGAAGGTGGTGGTGGTGGTGGTGGTGGAGATCGGAAGTTGTTATCCATAGTTTTTGATGTGTTGGGAAATTGTTATGAGTTTTGTTGAAAGTTCTTGATGACTTTTGAAGTTGTGATGAAGAGTATATGAGTTCTTGGTGGTCTTATTTATACGTGTGGTTTCCTAAGGGTTTATATTCTCCGTTTCAATTTGTTTGTATTACTTTCCTTTTCAGTCAGTTAAAAAAATTGTTTCTTTCCTCTTCTGATAACTCTTTAATTTTAGCTTTCTACCTAATATTTTGGTATATCCTACATATTTTTATTTTAAAACTACCTATTAAAAAATATTCTTTACTTTCTTAAATTTCGTGTTAAGTCAAAACCAGACAAACAAATTGAAATGGAGGAGTGTTTTTCTCCCCTTGTTTTTAGGCTATGCTTTGAAGTAAGCAGAGACTTGGCTCTCATGTGAAGATATAGGAAGACTTAATCTTGATGTGTTGATTGTAGTGAAAAACACTTTTCCTTCTGTTGTACTCTTTTATAAACTTGTTATTTTGCTTTAACTGTTCTTCTAGTGTCCTACACCACAAAACATGGAAATTTGATAGGAAACTTAAAGGTTTTGAGAGCTTCTATTCTATAGGGTAGAGTTGTAGCCATATTCTTTTAGCTCCACTGCAAAATGTTAGTAAAAGATTTTAAATCATAACTATCAAGAAATTATATATATATAGAGAGAGAGAGGGAGAGAGAGAGAGAGAGAGAGAGAGAAAGAGATAATTGTGGTGTTTCGCTTAATTTGCATCACCTCGACTAATTTTACGAAATATATGTCACATTTCATAAAAAACAAATATCAGGTAACTCAACATGCAACTAATTTCGCAAAATACGTGTCACACTAAAGTCAGTGGCGGAGTCAAAATTTAAATTAAAAGGTACAATATCTTAAGAAGCAAACACATGAATAAACTGAAGGGGTTCGACATATACTATAGATACATTAAAAATAATCTTAACTATATATAAATATTATAATTTTCCATCGAAGAAGGTTTGAATGACTCCCTGACCATAAGTTGGCTCCGCCCTAGACCAAGGATAGAATAAATCTAAAAAAATAAATCATTTCATTGACCACTAACTCACACCATTAATTCTGCTCTAATCAAGATTGTCCTATTTCTACATGTGTCGAGCGCAAAATAAGTTCCATTAATAATCACCCTTTTCTTCTCCCACTTCGCTTGAATATATTTTAATATAATAGCTAGTAGATCTCTCAAAATTCTATCCGTGCACATAAATTGAGATAGAGAAAGTAACATATATTATTTAAAAATTACGTATAAAGTATTATAAATTACAATAATTATTAACTTAAAATATTTTGAAAGAACATATAAAAAATTTAGTCGACGCTCCAAATTTCATCTGTGCCACATAAATTGGGAAAAAAGGAATAGCATATATTATTTAAAAATGACACAAAATTTAAAGTACTATAAATCACAATAATTAATAATTTATAAGATTTTTAAAACATATAAAAAAATTGACCGACTCTCCAAATTTCATAAATTAAAATAAAAAATTATTATCATATATTGGACTCGAGCTTACACACGGACTCGTGTATCCAGTTACAGTAACATAATTACATAATATAATGGAGTAGTAAATTTCACTCTTTTTTTTGTTGTTAAAACTAAAGTAAATGAGCTATGTGTGAAATGGACCTTAAATTTCACCGCTCTTTATTTCTTGTTGCATAAAATCATTTGAGGATACATTTATTTAGGTAGTTACATTTGAGAAATCCATTAAAGCACTTCAAAATAATTGATTGTTGTCATATTCCGATATTGTGTCACAAGATATTAGAAAAAAATAAAAAAAGCGATGTTGCTTTGATTCTTGAAAAAGAGAAAATTGTGCATAATGACAAACTATTAATTGAAAATAAATAATATAGCTACAATTTCATTTATTTCCTTTGAGTAGCTACAGTTTCACACATCTTGCTACTGACGGGTCCCACAAATTAAAAAAAAAAACGAAAATCATTTTCTTTATACAATTCACTTCATCTCTTTCCTCTCTCCCATACCCTTCAATTTCTCCTAAATTCTCTCCATAAAATCAGTTTAAATTTCTAATCTTTACTAATACGCGATTTCAAAAATTTCAGGTACCGCCAAAACCTCTAAATCAACAATTTTCCCCTTATCTCTTTAACTTTCATATGAAATCATAATTCATACATATTTTTCATTTATACAATGGATGAACATTTTCCTTGGGTCTAACTCAGAATTTTGGAGAGGTTACATGTTCAATAGCCAAATTCAAAGAAATTAAAGACATTAGATCCAAATTTAGGAATGACCCAATCAGATTGGGTGAAATTAATGCAAAATAGAAGCAATCTGAAATTGTTGAGGGAGGTGACAAAGATCAGTACGATGCTAGTTCAAGTAAGAAGAGGAAAGGAAAATCAATTGTATATTAGCCATTAGGTTAATATACAAACTTATTGTATAAAACAATTGTATATTAGAATTGTTTCTCGCTCATTGGAGCAAGATGAACATGAAGAAGTTTAGGTATTTGTATAATCATTAATTTGTATATGTTACAATTGTATATTAGTCTCTGTAAATTTTTGTCCTATATCTGTTTGTTTATACAAACTTATTGTATAAATAGCGGTTGTTATTATAACAATTTTACCATATATACAATATTAACAATTATACAATTGAAATGTTTTGTATAATATATAATATCCACATAAAACATGTTTATGTTATATTCAGATAAATTAGTGTTATACAAAATGACTATATATACTTTTTTATATGTTTATTTATACAGATTTGTATTTTTTTAGCCATTAGGTTTAATATACAAACTTTCTCCATTAATAGAAGTACAACAATCTCACTATATATACAATATAAATGATTATACAATTGAAATGTGTTGTATAATGTATAATCTTATTTATAAAACTTGTATAGGATAAATTGAATTAAATCTTATTTTATACAATACGCTAACTGTATTTGTGTCATATTTATACACAGTAAGTCATAGTTATGTATATATGTATATTTGAGCAAAGCTGTATATGTATTCCAAAGAAGCAATCAACAAATCAAATTGAGGTATCAAAATCCTGTCTTCTTTTTTTCAAGGTGTTAAATTTCTAGGCAAACGTGTACTCAGTTACAATGGAGTCACTACTGATGAAGAAGTTGTAAAAGGAAAGAGATCTTTTTGCGTGAATTTAGCGATTGTCTTCCTTTTTTTAATAGAACTTATAGCCTTTTATTAAATTTATTTAGAAAATAAAATTGTATATTGCTTCGAATGAATCCTGAAATATACAGATTAATAGTTCCATAACAAATATAAAATTTGCTATGGAGCGCTATTATGTAAACTATAGCTATAAGATACAAATATGTTTTTCATGTTTGTTATATGTGAAAGTTGCTCTAAAAAAATCAATGGATGCTTTGGAGGATCCAACACGGATATCACATTATTGTTGGAGAGTCTGAGTAACATAGGTTAAAAGTGTTTTTAGCCGGATACCATTTGACTAGGGCTAAGCATATTATGATTCAAACTGAAAAATTGATCGAACTAATTTTTTTTTTAAAATTTGGTTTCGGTTTGTTTGGTCGATTTCAGTTATTAATTCGAGAATTTCGGTTATTTGGTTCGGCTTTCAATTTTTAATTATTTTAATGCGGTTAAACCGAAAAATCAAAATTAAATTGCACTATACTTACAATTATGGAGGTTCTCATAATGTTTTTTCAGAAAAAAATTATTGTTCATAAATCGCATCAAGAATTGCGTTTTATTCATTGTTAGTGATTTTCAATGTAGCTCTTTGTATTCTCCCTTTGATACCATTAACTAAACTAGTAATTAACATATATTTTCTATCATTACACAAGAACTCCACTTTATTGCATATATTTCCACCACTTTATTAATTTAGTTATTCTCACATAAATACACATATTTCAAGCATGGGCTAATACACAAGAAAAACTCCAAAAGTCCGGTAATTTCTAAAATTTGACTCGTAAATCAAAAACTTTTGCAAAAAAAACAGCTGGACTACACATAATGTTTCCCCAACTCATTACGGAGGTCCTCATATACTTTTTTCAGAAAAAATTTCTGGGTGCCCCAAAGGTGCTAGATCCATGGACTAATACACAGAAATCGGTGAAGGTCGGGTAATTCCTAAAATTTTGCTCGTAAATGAGGAAATATGCGTGAATGGCAAGACTATACGTATAGCTTCCCCAACTCATTACTGAGATCCTCGTATAGTTTTTTTAGAAAAAAAATTATGGTGCCTCAAGACACTAGATTCATGGAGTAATACACACGAAATCGGTGAAAGTCGTGTAATTCCTAAATTTTTACTCGCAAATGAGAAATATGTGTGAAAGAAGCGGCAGGACAATACATAATGCTCCCCCAACTCATAACGGATGTCCTTATATAGTTTTTTCAGAAAAAATTTCAAATTGTTCATAACTAGCATTCATGGCTTGTAAATGCGAAAATGGACGTTAAAAAATTGAGTGAGAATATGTTAAGGTTCCAACTCGTTACACAGGTCTTCATAAAGTTTTTAAGAAATAAATTTTGGTTGCTTCGAATGAGGCTGGGCACCGGAACGGAACGAACTGGTACCGGACCGGAACGAACCGGTACCGGACCGGAACAGGACGATTTGACCGGGTTGTTGACCGGTACCGGGATGAATCGGACCGGAACTACCGGGATGGAGGCTCAGTTCCGTCCCGTCCCACTATATACCAGGATAGAATCGGGACGGACCGGAATGGACCGGAACGGAACGGGATGGAATAAACGGGACGGCACATATAGCTATTTCAAAAAATAATTATTTTTTTTGAGTTATTTTGAATTACGAAAATTTGAATATTTTTTTTTTTTTTTCTAAGTTATATTAGTTTATCGTATTTAAGTTTTAAAATTTATAATAATTTTACTTAAGTTTATTTTAAAGATTTTTTTTTTAATTTTTACGTATATAAGTTTGTAAGTTAAGTTTAATAAAGTTTTTTTTTTTAGTTTT